AGGCTGAAGGAAATTAATTGTAAGTTACTTGTATTTCAACCTGCTTGCCGTCAATAGCTCCCAAGCAGTTGTCAAAATTCCACAAATTGTTAAAATCGTCACTAACTTTTTTCCACTTCTCTTCAGATGGTTGAAGAAAATAATCATCTTTTAAACATTCATATATTGCCTGACATGTTTCACGTATTTTAATTGAAATAGTATTTTGTGCCACTCTGAATGCGAATGAAAGAGACACCATTGAATCTCCTGTAGACAAATAACGAAGTGTTATTTCCAATCGAGTTCTCGAAGATATTGGATCGCGAACCACTTGTTGTTTTTCGATAAGAGGTCGAACACGTTCATGTAATTGTTCAAAGACCTTGGGATGACAACGAAGGTATGTGAAATATTTTTCATGGTCCTCTTCTTGTAATTCTTTAACCAAGTTATCGCCGTCTCCTTGTAGAAATCTTCTCTCTGCAGTAAAAATAGGTCGCACCCAAAATCTTCTAACTGATGGAATTAAATTCATTGACATTGTTGCACGTTTTCTTGCCATGTACAATTTCCAAAGGATACATATTTGTCGACGAACTGACTCTTTGGCCAACGGCAACATAGGAGTTTGATTATACTCCGTAATTAAAAAGTGTATCATTTGCAATTGACTTTGAAGATCCATAATTTATTGAATGATAGCTGCAAAGTGAATTAAAAGTAGTTAAAAAAGTATAATAAAAAATGAAAAAAGTGTACATTAGTGATTCCTTACGAAATTTTGTTTTTAATTGCATAAAGAATTACGAAAAGGGGTCTGAACACGCTTTTTAAAATTTTCTGGGTAACACAAAAAAAAATTATTTTCTTATTACGTATGTACGTACGTACGTACGTACGACAGCCAGATGTCGACTTAAGAACAGGAGCCATTTTTCCTATAATTGTTAGTTATTATGTTATATGAAAAAATAAATAATTAATATACTCAATTAATTACGTGAGAATGGGATGCAAAGAAAATTCATCTAATATTTATCCGCGAATTAATCTCTTTTCAAATTAAACTATGTGCGAAATTTAAGTTGCTATTTTGAGAAAATATTATTATTAAAGTATGTTCATTTAAGAATTTTATAATTTTGTTCTTCGCTAAAAATATAAGAGATCGCTTTTATGAATTCAATACCTATATATATATATATATATATATATATATATACATAACCAATATAATTATTTCATATGAAGAACCTAATTATTTTAAGAATATCCAACCAATCCTATAAGAATAATAAATAAAAAATATTTGTAATAGTATATATTGCAACAATAACTCATAATAATTTAATAGTATTAAAGATATTTATTTAATCAATATGAGTAAAGTTATTTATTTCTTCTAATAGTAATTACCTATATCATTCCGATTTTAAGTATTTATTGATGATATGATACATTTAATCATCGGCAAAAATTTTGTTTTTAAAAAAGAATTTAATATTTTGTTCCGTAGAAAAAAATTTTGAATATACTCTCAATAATTTAATTTTTCCGGTTGTTGTATTCAGCCGTATTGTTTATATCCCTAGCGGATGGGTTCAACGCGATTTGAACGGAATAGCGTTGAAACACCGTTGGGAACACAACGGTCACTAAAAATGTTATTTAAACAATAAAATATAATAAAGTATTTATTGGTATTTGTAGAAAAAGTGTTCATGAGTAATTTAAGACCTTATTTGTATCAATTTAATACGAAATAAGTGAAATAAAAGATAAAATATGGAACACTGTTATATCAGGGTTCTCTGTCAAATTTTTATATAATTCAATGAAAAGTGTTTTAGATATGATTTTTGAATAATAAAAAAACAGTGAAAAAGTATTAATTTATTATTTTAATGCATTTGAAAGGGTAATAAATAGTGAAAATTAATGTGTTTATTGTGTACTATTTGTGTGTATAGGACAACGTTTTTCGACAGCAAGTTACAGGTTACATCGGTGAACGCTAGATGGCAGCACAGTAAACAATTAATAAGACTTTGACAAGAAAAATATTTAACCCACTGAACGTCGATGATGCATCTAGACACAAATAAAAAAAAATGCTACAGACTTATTGAATATTCTTAAAAAATGTTACTAGGGGGTTTTCAAATTTGATATCAGATTTACAAAATTCAAAATACCAAATAAAATATAACGAATAGAATAAAATTAAAACATAATCAAATTCTCCATCAACTTGTTACTCGGGGGTTTTTGGGTTCGCTGATTACGAATATAATAACAAATTCGATTATTGTTTAATTGTTTTGATCCGCCATATTGGATCCGCCATTTTGATTTTTGGAAATCTGTTATTATATGCGTAATCAGAGACCGAAAAAACCCCCGAGTAACGTACTTTTAGAGAATTTGTTTTAAGTTTAATTTTTTTTCTTTCAAGATTTTGAATTTTCAAAATTTGTTATTATATTCATAATCAGCGAACCCCAAAAACCCCCGAGTAGCAAGCTGATGGAGAATTTGATTATGTTTTAATTTTTTTCTATTTTGTTATATTTTATTTGCACGGAGAAATAGTAAGGAGAACGATCTTGCTGTAGTAGCGCTTCTGAAAATGTCAGAAAAACATGCACGATAAATGCCAGTTTCACTGCATTCTACTCAACCATTAAAAAACCTGAGCATGCGCATTAGCCATGTGCTGTCTCTTTCTCTCGCAAAAAGTGTGCGAGTGAGATCTGGCTGACGTATATTTCTCAAGTCTTCCATGCGTGTTGTGATGAAGGGGTTATGTGTTATTGTTATGTTATTATTTTAATAATTATTATTAATGTTTATTTTATATACTTAAACATGATTTTGGAGATACAATATCGCAGTGGTAAATAAAATTTCTGAAATAAACACTGAACACTAAGATTTTTTTTGTGACATATATGTATATCGCATAACCACACTTTTCATCTGTCAAAATTAAGGTCCAATGCGCATGCTCACTTAGTTTGGCCAGTTGAGTACAATGCACTGAACCTGGCACTTATCGTACATGTTTTTTTGACTTTTTCAAACGCAGAGATCGGTCTCCTTACTATTCCTCCGTGTTTATTTGGTATTTTGAATTTTGGAAATCTGTTATTAAATTTGTAATTAGCGACCCCGAAAACCCCCTAGTAACATTTTTTAAGAATATTCAATAAGTATTTAGCATTTTTTTTTATTTGTGTCTAGATGCATCATCGACGTTCAGTGGGTTAAACATTTTTCTTGTCAAAGTCTTATTAATTGTTTACTGTGCTGCCATCTAGCGTTCACCGATGTAACCTGTAACTTGCTGTCGAAAAACGTTGTCCTATACACACAAATAGTACACAATAAACACATTAATTTTCACTATTTATTACCCTTTCAAATGGATTAAAATAATAAATTAATACTTTTTCACTGTTTTTTTATTATTCAAAAATCATATCTAAAACACTTTTCATTGAATTATATAAAAATTTGACAGAAAACCCTGCCCACACAGCACATAATATTTCCAAAATATTTTTGAAATATTTCACTGAAATTTTGGAATATTTCAGTGGAAAGTCCTTGAGATATTGCTGCAAACAGGAAAATGTCCGCTTATGAGGAAATATTGATGGTCAACTTGAGAAAATATTTCACTGAAATATTCAGGAAATTTTCAACTTAAATGATGCGCACTGGTCGATCTCAGTTACTATGGCCTGTACAACTGCGCAGTAGTTTTTAGTTTTCTAGAATCCTAAGGGTGTTAAAAATTTCAGAAAATACCTATTGATTTCATGTGTCAAAAAATTTTGGACATTTTGTAAAATATTTCCTGAATATTTCAGAAGTTGTTATTTGTAATATTGCAGGAATATTTCAGTGAAATATTTTCTCAAGTTTACCATCAATATTTCCTCATAAGCGGACATTTTCCTGTTTGCAGCAATATTTCAAGGACTTTGCATTGAAATATTTCAAAATTTCAGTGAAATATTTCAAAAATATTTCGAAAATATTATGTGCTGTGTGGGTGATATAACAGTGTTCCATATTTTATCTTTTATTTCACTTATTCCGTATTAAATTGATACAAATAAGGTCTTAAATTACTCATGAACACTTTTTCTACAAATACCAATAAATACTTTATTATATTTTATTGTTTAAATAACATTTTTAGTGACCGTTGTGTTCCCAACGGTGTTTCAACGCTATTCCGTTCAAATCGCGTTGAACCCATACGCTAGGGTATACTGACCATGGGCATAAAGAAGTATAGATGGACCCTCTACTATAGCTAAATGCGTATGAAAGAGAGAGACATAAAATCATGACATATGCGTTAGAAAAGTGCAGACGGATAATGTATATATGTCCTCTGTATGGAATATACATATGGGCATATCTCTAGTACTTTTAAACTTTATGTTATCGCTCATTATGATACCTTAAGAATTTTTTAAATAATTTTTCAATACCATAATTTGAGCAATTATATGATCTACCTAATAAGAAGTAATTTGAACCCATACAGGAATGTGTGCCTCCTTTACACAAAGAATGCAATGACTTCAAAAATTAAATTTTAAAACGTAACTCAAATCAAAATACCACATATTTGAAAAGCACATGTTGAATTTTGCTTCTAAATGCTCCCAACTCATTGTAATCTCTTCTCATGCATTATAAAAGTATACAGAAAAATAGTTAACCTTTGCACACTTCATTAAAACTGTATAATTAATAATGAATATAAACCTAAACTGTCCGACGCATAGTTTGTAAAGAAAAGTAAGTAATAACTAATAGATGTGTTTAAATCTGGCTGATATTTCTCACTCGAAGGTTTTTAGGGTCGCTGCGACTACTAATCTGAATTTTAAATTTTCCAAAATTCAAAATGGCGAATCCAATATGGCGGACGACTTTTTAAAAAAGTGATCTAGAATCTAGATCTAGAAATTTAAAGATTATATGTAATATTATACCTTCTTTAGAATCATCAATACTATTATCCAATTGCCCTTCACTTTTTTCAATCGATGGGTTGAGAGAAGATATTGTTCTGCAACAAAAATATGTAAATATATGTAAAGTGAATAAATTATACTTTTACAAAATAATTTTATCCAGAAGTGTTCCAAAGTAATAGAAAATTTAAATAACTTTTCTTAATTTGCAACACATTTGTTATAAAATAGACGGATTTAATTTTCTGTCCTACAAATATGATAATTAAATAAACTTTATTGTCAAAAGTTTGTGTATCATTAAGAAATTAATAGACGGATTTAATTTTCTGTCCTACAAATATGATAATTAAATAAACTTTCTTGTCAAAAGTTTGTGTATCATTAAGAAATTCCATTTGTTTCATGAAAGGAAATATTTTCTTTTTCTTTGTGTTTGCAGCAGATCCACTAGGTAGATATCTTTTTTCATCCTTCCTGGCTTCCAGATATCTTGTTTTTAAAGAGTTCCACCTACTTTCAATTTCATCAGCTGTTAAAACTCCTACAAATCATTTTTAGTATGTAATAATTACGATTATAGTATAATGATTGTCACTTTATTTTGTATGTTAATTATAAAATTAATTATAATAAAATTTCTATGTACCATTCATGCAGCACGAAATTTCTTGCCAGAGATCTTTTTTTTTAATTTACTTCTTTCTTTCACATTCAGGTTTTTAAAATCATAAACAGCAGGTCGCTTTTGGACTTCATAAATAATTGCATCACTTAGGTCAATATTTGACATCGGTAAAGGGACTTCGCGATTTTTTAAAGAACGGTGCTGAAAAATGACCAAAATTTGCCCATGCGGGAATTATGAAAAACGAGTAGTTTCCCATAGTTTAAACCCTGCTGAATCCGAAAATGATAATTAGAATCTTGCAAACCTGAGGGAAAGGGATGAAAAACTACCCCTAAATAAGCAATTCCAATAATTCACGACAATTAAAATGCAGTCAAGTAACATCTAAAAAATAAACCAAAATCGCTTAAAACTTGTTACTCGGGGGTTTTCTGGGTCGCTGATTACGAATATGATGTTAGTTTTTGAAAATTCAAAATGGCGGATCCAGTATGGCGGACGACTTTTTTAAAAAATCTTGAGAATCGCCTGAAACTTGTTACTCGGGGGTTTTCGAGATCGCTGATTACGAAAATGATGTTAGTTTTTGAAAATTCAAAATGGCGGATCCAATATGGCGGATAAAAATTTTAAAAATCCACACAATTTGCTTAAAACTTGTTACTCGGGGGTTTTCGGGGTCGCTGATTACGAATATGATGTTAGTTTTTGAAAATTCAAAATGGCGGATACATTATGGCGGACGAAAATTTTAAAAATCCACATAATTTGCTTAATACTTGTTACTCGGGGGTTTTCGGGGTCGTTGATTACGAATGTGATGTTATTTTTTGAAAATTCAAATTGGCGGATCCAGTATGGCAGACGACTTTTTTAAAAAATCATGAGAATTGCCTGAAACTTGTTACTCGGGGGTTTTCGGGGTCGCTGATTACGAATATGATGTTACTTTTTCAAAAATTGGAAATGGCGGTTCCGATACGGTTGGACAGTTTTCTATGAACCGTCGTATTCGCTTGAAACCACTAATATTTACTATTTGAATTGTTCTAGACATCACTTACTGTTTATTTATACGTATACCCAAGAAGCACGTAATATAACCTCAATATCAAGGTAATATTACACGTAAGATTCGTAATATAACGCTGTAATATTACAGTAATCTTACAGTGATCTTAAAATGTCCGCCTCAAGGTAATATTACCGGTAATGTTACTGTAATATTACGCGCTAATATTAAGGTAATATTACAGTAATATTGCAGTAATATTATACCGTAATATTAAGGTAAGAGAATATTACAGTAATATTATGGGAATATTTCTTTACGAAAAAAATCTACCCATCCAGGGAATCGAACCCCGAACTCAAAGCACACGAGTCCAGAGTTTTACCAACAAGCCAAATTGACTTATAATATATTTACGTTTTTTATGCTTTATGAATAACTCAAATTAGTCTCACAGGTGTCTGAAAAGTAAAAAAGTTTGCCTACGATGCCAAGAAAAATCATTGTTACCTGGTGGTTCCTTAGCACCCCCTGAAACGAGAAAACTTAACCCAAAAATCATAGCTGTTCATTTAGAGAAGTTTCACCTCTTTCAAGGGGTGATTTTAAAATATTTCCAAAAAAATTGTTTTTGAAGGGTCAGAAATGAGTTTTAAATTATGTTAATGATTTTTATTTATGTCAATGTGTTTGTAGGACCTCATTTTCTAGATACAAGCCATTAATATTTTTTTTATTAAAAAACCTAGAATTCGTAACTTTTATTTTATATAGGTGACGATTTTTAATAATTTAATTAACAGTGAATTTTAATTTTTTGGAAAGTTAAAAATGTGTATTTTCAATACAAAAAATATTGAAATGTCCTTTTTTGTTATTTTCGAGATATTAATTAATGAATTATTTAATGTTAATAAAAAATGCAATATTTTATAAACAAATAATGTTATCGTAAATTAGCGTTACCAATTGAAAGCTAACGTAATTCCGCATCCAACGAGACTAATATGAACTATTTTGAATTAGAGGGATTTTTATCAACAATTGCAATGTTGTTATGCGATTATTTATTAACAATCCACTAACCCAAAATTCTTCATATAGGGCTCGTTGGATGCGGAATTACGGTAGCTTTCAATTGGTAACGTCAGAATTACGATGACTTTATTTGTATATAAAATATTTTATCTTTTGTTAACGTTAAATAATTAAATAATTAATATCTCGAAAATAACAAACAAGGATATCTCAATATTTTTTGTAGTAAAAATACACATTTTTAACTTCTCAAAAAAATCAAAATTCACTGATTAAATTTTTCAAAAAATCCAACTCCTTCCGTCTCCTACAGGCAGTTTTTGAGAAAACCTAACAACACTTCGTGGTGGAATTTCGCCCTATAGATATAAATTCATTAACACGATTTATTTATTTACTAATTAAATCATCCAAAATCGTCACCTACATAAAAGAAAAGTTACGAATTCGAGTTCTTTTCTATTAAAAATTTTTTTAATCACTTGTACCTAGAAAATCAGATCCTTCAAACACACCCACATAAATAAAAATCATTAACATAATTTAAAACTTATCTCTGACCCTTAGAAAACAAATTTTTTGAAAAAATTTCGAAACTTCTCTAAATAAACAGCTACGATTTTCGGGTTAAGTTTTCTCGTTTCAGAAGGGGCTAAGGAACCACCAGGTAACAATGATTTTTCTTGGCATCGTAGGCAAACTTTTTTTTCTTTCCAAACACCTGTGGTCTGTAATATTATTGTAATATTACCGTTAATATTACTGTAATATTACCGTTAATATTACAGTAATATTCCAAGTAATATTACCTTGAGGCGGACATTTTAAGATCACTGTAAGATTACTGTAATATTACAGCGTTATATTACGAATCTTACGTGTAATATTACCTTGATATTGAGGTTATATTACGTGCTTCTTGGGTATACATATAAATAAACAGTAAGTGATGTCTAGAACAATTCAAATAGTAAATATTAGTGGTTTCAAGCGAATACGACGGTTCATAGAAAACTGTCCAACCGTATCGGAACCGCCATTTCCAATTTTTGAAAAAAAACCCCCGAGTAACAAGTTTCAGGCAATTCTCATGATTTTTTAAAAAAGTCGTCTGCCATACTGGATCCGCCAATTTGAATTTTCAAAAAATAACATCACATTCGTAATCAACGACCCCGAAAACCCCCGAGTAACAAGTATTAAGCAAATTATGTGGATTTTTAAAATTTTCGTCCGCCATAATGTATCCGCCATTTTGAATTTTCAAAAACTAACATCATATTCGTAATCAGCGACCCCGAAAACCCCCGAGTAACAAGTTTTAAGCAAATTGTGTGGATTTTTAAAATTTTTATCCGCCATATTGGATCCGCCATTTTGAATTTTCAAAAACTAACATCATTTTCGTAATCAGCGATCTCGAAAACCCCCGAGTAACAAGTTTCAGGCGATTCTCAAGATTTTTTAAAAAAGTCGTCCGCCATACTGGATCCGCCATTTTGAATTTTCAAAAACTAACATCATATTCGTAATCAGCGACCCAGAAAACCCCCGAGTAACAAGTTTTAAGCGATTTTGGTTTATTTTTTAGATGTTACTTGACTGCATTTTAATTGTCGTGAATTATTGGAATTGCTTATTTAGGGGTAGTTTTTCATCCCTTTCCCTCAGGTTTGCAAGATTCTAATTATCATTTTCGGATTCAGCAGGGTTTAAACTATGGGAAACTACTCGTTTTTCATAATTCCCGCATGGGCAAATTTTGGTCATTTTTCAGCACCGTTCTTTACTGCAAATGTTAAAAAATAATATATATAATTATTTTAATATATTAATATATATATATAATTATATAATAGTTATAATAAAATTCATGCTTACTCAGTGTTACAACCATTTTTTTTATCTATATTGAATTCGTGTTCATTTTCATTAAATTGTTGAAAACAGCTGTGGATTTTGGGAAGCTTTTCTAACGTTTCATAAGTAAAATTTATAATTGCTCCACAATAACCGCATTTAATAAGCTGCGGAAAATAAGTTTTTTCATATAATGTGTTCACAAAAATAATTTTTATTACAAAAGTAAATGTCGTCAATATATTCATAATATATTGTAAATAAATGATAGTTTTTGTCATTTTAATACTTATATATTAATTTTATTAAAAATACTTACAGGTCCAGGAATTTCGTCTTCATTATTATTCTCTAACATTTTAGCTTGTGCTATGGACATTATAAACTGCACCCTTAGTAATATGGGTGAGTACCTCACCCATAAATTATTATTATGTTTTATAAATATTTTTGATTTTCAAAAAAGGGACAATTTTTAAATTTTTAAAAAAATTGCATTTCTTTTTCCTTCAAGACCACCGTGTTTATAATTACAAGCAAATTGAAAGAAAATTATAGGAAAATTATTTTTTTCAAATATATGAGGCAAAATTCCTGAAGTGTGATCCAACTTTATAATTGAAGGTTTTCGGATCGGGCTGAAATTTTCACAAACTTTAGTACTATGTGTGAGTACTTCACGCATAAATTATTATTAAGTTTTATGCAAAACTGGAGACAGAGGAGGGATCAAGTTTCTCAACAAATGTGAACAGTGGATTTTTTAAAAAATCTTAACTTCTATATAAATGGATAAACAAAATTTTGACCTATATGTTTTCGAAAGGTTTTTTTCTGCTCTTTCGAATGCTGAAAAATTTTTTTTAAAAACTTAAAAATTGTCCCTTTTTTGAAAATCAAAAATATTTATAAAACATAATAATAATTTATGGGTGAGGTACTCACCCATATTACTAAGGGTGCAGTCACATGGAGCAGATTAGCAGAATAGCAGATCAGACCAATCAATATGTTTTGTAAAAAACTTTTTTGAAAAAATGGAATAGAATTTCAGTAAATTTCAGTTAAATTGTTAACTATTAATAAATATTAACTAATAACATATGTCTTATTTAACTCACCTAATTTTATCTTTTATTCATAGACAATAGGCTAATTTGTCAAATGATAAAAGATGAAGCCATATTAATTATAAATAAATTAATAATAAATTAATCAGTAAAACTTTAATATTCATAAAATTCAATTTATTACTGCAAATAAATGTTAGGCGGAAAAAAGTAGGGTAAGAGGTTTGGTTGTGGGCACCCCTGCGTAACTTTTGATAAAAAATAAATGAATAAAATTTGACAAATGTCAATTGTGTCACGGTGAGCTTGAATCAAATTTAAATGAAAAGATCAGTAACTGCAAATTAATGTTTTAGCATATTTTAAATCTACATGTTTTCTATTAAATTTACAAGAAAAATTAAAATGATCAGCGGAGGGCTTTTTGCGAAATACCACTTTTATTAATTTTATAAAAACCTACTTGGCGTATTTTTTTTATTTTGACAAATTTATCAAAAGATTAACCCATAACCTAAATGCACAGAAAGAATGTGTAAACATATGGTTGGGAAGATTTTCCAAAGTGGAAGGTTTCTTCTGAACATCAAAAAATGATTGGACCAAAAGTGTTATGTACAATTAAAAAAACATTTTGTTGTTACGTGTCGGGTATCTGGACTTTACGGTTGAGCTACGGTACAAAATCAATGTTATATGAAGAAAAATGATCCGTTAATGACAAAAAAATAATGAAATTGAGTTAAAAATGAGGAAGAAAATTTAAAATTGAAATAAATTAAGCCCTCTGGACCGAAATCTGATTATTTCTCGCGTTTCGGAAAATTGGTCTGAAAAGGTAAAGAAAAATTATCAAATTTTCTTAATACCAAAATTTTTCAAATGAAATTAGCATTTTTGGCTCTCTTATAAATACAAAATTGTACTTTCGACTTCAGAACGTATATATCCGTACATCTTTGAAATAAAAAAAAAAATATGTCGAATTTATTAATAATAATTCTGATAATAGTTTTATAAAATTTTTTTGGGTTCCTTCACATATTGGAGTCCGGGGAAATGAGGAAGCTGACTTTCGGGCTAAATCGGCTACTGAAAAAGATTGTTTAGATGTAGTAAGGATTCCTTATACTGACTTGTATGAGTTTTTTAGAAAAAGGTCATCCTCTCAGTCTTTAGATATCATATTACAACAGGGCCTTTTTAAGGGCAAATATTATTTTCAAAATTATTACTCTAGCGCTAAGAAGCTATGGTTTGGTCATAAATCTTTAACTAGAAGACAGATAGTCACAATTAATCGTTGTAGAGCCAATCATTATAATTTGGCTGAATCTTTGGCTCGAATAAATATTGTTAATAGTAGTTTGTGTAAGTGTGGTCAATATAACGAAAGCTTGAATCATGTTGTTTGGCAGTGCCAACTATATGTACCTCAACGTACTCTTTTATATAAGAAATTGTTTAATATGAAAATCTTTTTGCCGCTGTGCATGGAAATGTTCTTAGCAAAACCAAATATTGCTGTGTGCAAGCTCATTGTTAAATTTTTGGATGATTGTAATTTAAAGATATAAACTTTATGTATGCTTATAAACCTATTTAGGTTTTTTTAATGCTTTAATAAAAAAAAAAAAAAAAATATAATAAAATATTATAAAATCGGTGGATAGCCCAACCATGACAAACGACGCTGTTACCATAAACGTGTTGTATAAACTTAATAATAATAATGACAGTAACGATAAATAACGTTTCAAATTTTTAAATTACATTGTAATGAATAATCTTAGTCATTTTATTTTGTTGTTTGCTCATTCCTTCTGTTGTTTAATACACTTTTCTGATACTATGAAAAAGTTCAAGAAAAAGTTTTGGGTTGTGATTTTAGCATTTATTACGTGTTATTGAAAAATTAGGTATTTATTGCAATTTCATTTTTCTGTAACTGACGTGAAAAGTTTGTTGCCATCACTAACAAATATTTGCATGCAATGATATAGGACGCAAGTGTAATAATACGAAATAAACCGTGATGTTCCAACCACGCTGACTCTCCCCTACGTAATATATATGGCCTTGTCGAAAAAAATAAATACATATTATGAATTGAAGTTAGAGTCAAAATTCTGTGCATTTGGGCGTTAATAGGTTTATTATTTAATAGATTTGTTAAAATAAACAAAAATACTCAAAGTAGTCTTTTGTGTAAAAATAATAAAAATGGTTTTCCTCAAAAATGTAGATTTAAAATACGCAAAAACTTTTGCAGTTATTGGACTTTTCATTTAAATTTCATTCAAGCTGACCCTGGGGAGTACTTTGAGCCATAATAATAAAGATTAATTATTTTTTATGCATTTTAACATTTTCTTTAAAATCGTTTTTTGACCATAACTTTACAAAATGTATTGATACCTATAGATATTTATCTCTAGTTTTGTAGAGTTTTTCAAGACGTATCTTTTGACCTATTAGCGAATATCCTACTGTTTTTATTTTATTATTTCTTTACATTTCGTAGTTCTAATTGTCAAGTAATAAAATATTAAATATTAAGCTGATAAAAATAAATCCTCCAATAATATAGGACCAAAGGAAAAAACTGGTTTGTGAAGTAGTGATGTAGGGTTGAATGGAGGGGGTGGGTCAATCATAGTGAAGGGAAGCGTTAGGATAGAAAGCTACCCAGTTGGAATCCGACTACAGACTATCAACAAGAGTTGTGTGCCTTGTTATAGACGCGAAAATCCCGTGTATTTTTCATCTTTGTGCACGGTACATTTAATTTTTTTATGAATTTGTTTTTACTTATCTTTTCTGTATTATTTTTACATATTGGTCTGAATTTTCTAGTACTTAAAATTTTACTTGTAGTATTTATGAATTTTCACGATATAGAATAATAAAAATTACAAAATATCCATTATTTTTCTTTAACATGTATGATTTAAGTAAGAAAAGGATTATTTTTATATCCATATATCAATAAAGAAAGAATTCTTATTACAATAAATATATGTCAATTACAGCTACCAAAATAATAATTAAAAATATGCTTGCATATAATGATTTTTTAAATTCTGTTTTAATTCTTAAGTGTCAATTTTAAAATTTATTATTTTCATTAAATCATTTTGTTTAAAAAAATGTTGAATTGAAATTCTGCATGCAATTTTAATCTTAAAATCTGTATGTTTATAAGAATTCAAAAGTATTGATTTAAAATTTTCTAAAATCAGTTTTTATTTTTATTTAAAAAAAATAAAACAAAAATTTACATTTAAAGTAAAATTTAAAAAAATGTTTAATACTTCAATTTTTTATTTAGGACTGTATATTTTTTAAATATTAATGTTAAGCAAGTTCTTCAAAATTAATATATTTAAGGAATGTTATTCAATATAAGTTATCTAAATTATTCCGTATTATATTAGAGTGTAGAAGGTTTTACTTTTTGACATTTTCTATCATGTATAAAAGCAACAAGTAGTTTGAAAAATAAGTTATTGATTTCCTTTATCGTTTACTAATATTACACATGCTATTATTTAGATACAGTTTAGAAATATTAAACAAGTTAGTTATTCTTATATTCATTAATATATCTGAAAAGTTTAATTTTGCAGTAGTTAAAAATTAAAATTGAATATAAATAAATTAAAAACCTATTTTAATATATTTTTAAATTGTACACTTAATATTTATGGGCGATTCCAAGTGAAATTTAGCTATGGGATTTTAAATTCGATAGATATTTTTTTTCGTTCATTACAGAAAAAATGGTTAAAGTATTTTTTTATTTTTTATAGGTGCTGAAATTTTCGAGTTATAATTTTTTAAAAACTTGATTTTTTCGAGTTTTGTAAAAATAGACCTAATGTCAATAACATATAACTCTAAAAGTATTGAATTAAAGAATTATCTTCAAGATACAAAAAAGTTGCAGTTTTCCATCGACTTTCGTAATATGTTAACGAAAGAAACATTTTTAAATTTGTTTATAAAAAATAAATATTTTTTAAACAAATTAATTTTTTTTAATTGGGCACAAATTTTTTATTTATTTTTTTATTTCAAAAAATGAAAAAGCAAAATTTTTTTAAAACTGTGATGGGAATATATTTCTTGACTTTATGTCGAGAAATAAAATGGTAAAATATCCTAGAATAAGGGTAAAAGGTCAATAGTTCTCCCATGCCAATTTGCCCAATCTGAAAGCCCTGACAGGACTCGACCAGGGCCCTATCTATTCGCTATTGTAAATTTGAAATAATTGTAAATATTTATCTATAATTAATAAATAAAAATAAAATTAATTTTGTTTACTTGACAAAAGCTATTTAGTCCACTGCAAAAAGGATGACTTTAAAACGTGTTATTTGAAGAAATTAGACACTTTGAAAATATCCTTTTAAGATAAACGTCTTAATGTAACGCCTTTGATGCAAAGTGACTAAAAATTTGATACATTGTTTGCGTCTATCGAGCCTAAATGAAACATTCTTCATTTATGACGAGTTCATTTAAGACGTTTCTGTTTTAAGTCGCAGTATAAAATACATTTTTACTATTCGGGTATCTTCGAGAATACTATTCCACACTCGTCTCGATAAAAGTAGAAAAACTGCCAAACGTAAATAGCGTACACGATTTAGTTGATTATTTTCTTTCAGTTTGGCAACCCTGATTTATATATAACCTAACCTAGTGTTATCCTCAATTCTAGCGTCTCAAATAATAAGACATTAATAATGTCTTATTTGAACACACCCACAAAAAGTCTTAAATGTTACTACAAAACTGTCTAAAATAAGACATCCGATTTTGCAGTGTCCACAATTGCTTGCTTTTACCCTATATTTTTGTGATTTTTTGAAAACGTAATATTTTGAAAATTTTTATGAAGGAGCAAACTATTTAAAACTGATAAAAAAATCTATACTTGATAGAACATTAATTTAATGTTTGCAAATTGTTAGTGACTTTTAGGTTAGTTTTTATTTTTTTTCTACTTATAATCAGATTCGCTTTGAAAATAAGGAAATATTCGATGTTTCCGCACTCGACTTTCCGCATTTTTACATAATTGGAATAAAATTATTTTTATAAATTGATGACAGCTTGGTAATTAACAAATTTCTGCAAAGTAACACGGCGTTGTGGAAACTTCTGCACGGGCAATATATTGTCGCATTACCAAAATTTACCGGTTCTGTTCCTCACTCTTTGTGTGTATGTTTATTTGAATGTGCGTGAAGTTGATCTCCTTCTATGAACAAAATTTATTTTGTAAAATTATAATTATTCTTTGATGTTTATTGTATTGACCAATTGAATATATTTCACATTATATTGTAAGGTCGATATCATTTGGAAATTTATTATTATATGGTGTTTAATGTACTATGCTTCTGAATTTTGATCATTTTATTCTTATTTAATAGTATTTTTATTTAAACTAAAAATTATTGTTTTAAAACAAATGAAATAAACAACAAGTTGTAAATTCAGATGTTCATTACATGAACATTTTGCTTCCTCTTTACGATCAGCAAAAAAATTTGCTTCCTCGTGGAGAAAGCAAAATTTTATTACCAAAATGTGAATTTTTGATTTTTTAACTTTCATTAATTCTTTAAATTTACCTCAAATGTATACTTTATATATATATATATATATCGATCGATTCGTCTTGACGTAAGGAATACAATTATTTCATATATAAACTTCAATTTAAAAAATAGGAAAAGAACTAGGCGCAATTGCGCCTACATCTAGGGTTTCGTGGCGCTTTAAATTTTAATGTCAACTACTGGGACATGTCAACTATAGGGACATGTCAACTATATGGACATGTCAACTATTGGGACATGTCAACTATTGGACATGTCAATTACTGAGACAGGTCAACTACTGGGACATGTCAATTATAGGGGCATGTTAACTAATGGGACATGTAATGTCCATTCATGTAATGTCCATTCGGGAAAATGTCCATTCAGTAAATGGAGATTTGGGATCTGTGGGGCCCCAAAATATGAATTTGGGAGCTATGGTGCCCCAAAATTTGAATTTGGGATCTGTGGTGCTCCAAAATTCGAATTTGGGATCTGTGGTGCCCAAAATTTTAATTTGGGATCTGTGCCCTAAAATTTGATTTTGGGAGCTGTGGTGCCCCAAAATATACTACGGACAGACGGACGCCAAAGTGAAACTATAAGGCTTTTGGCCATGGGCCACGAAACCCTAAAAATCACAAAATTTTGTAGCCAAAATGGGAATTTTTGATTTTTTAACTTTCATTAATTCTTTAAATTTACCTCAAATGTATACGTTATATATATCGATCGATTCGTCTTGACGTAAGGAATACGATTTTATTATATCTTAAATTTTTCTATTTAAAAATTTTTTCGATTAAAAAAATTTTTTGGAAAAAAGACGATAAAATTTTTTTTTGGGTATTTTTCAAAATCCTTTGGTCAGATTTGAGATATTAATATGATAAATGAGCCTACCAAATTTTATCTAAATCCATTAAAACCTGTTAAAGTTATCTTCTAAACAAAAAAGGGATCCACATACACACACACATACATACATCCGGACAATTGATCAGGATCTCATATAACATGTTTCTATAAAGAAAAAAATTTGTTTCCGCCACTTTGAAAAGTTTTATAAACGAAAGGATTACAAAGCTTCCTCCACGAGGATGCAAAAAGGATCATCAGACTCACTCCATAATTTATTATAAAATTTTCTTATTATTTTCATGTATGTAAAAATAAAAAAAATAAAAAATTTTTTCTTCCTTAACATATTTTAAAAGTCGATAAAAATCTAAAACTATTTTGTATCCGACATAGCACGACTTCTTGCTGTAAGGTTACCGTGTAAGCCTGCAGTAAATTTGAGGTCATCTTAAAACTTCCGCCTCACGGTAAGCATACACAGTAAACTAGAGGCAAGCATGCACCGTAAGGTCACTGTAAGGTTATATTTATGCGCAGTAGGTTTCTATGGCACATACGGTTTAAATTTTATTTAATAAACCCTATTAGGGTTCATGTAGTACTTTATGGAATATATACTTTTTTATAAAAAAATTTTTAATATAATATATGCACTACTGTCGCACACTATACGATTTTCTCATTTTCTTTGTCAATGTTTTTGAGGTCACTAAATTCAAATATGACAGTTAAATTGAAAAATTCAAAATAGCGGATCCAATATGGCGGACAAAGTTTGGATATACTTCCGAAGTAGGGGTACCACCGATTTTAATAAAACTTGGTATACTAATGTATTTTGGTGCGTTGTTACGAAAATGATAGTGAAAACTCACGCAAATTTGATTATCATGGTAAAAACCATAAAAAGCACCATAAAATCATGGTTTTTTGCGAATAACTCGTATAAATTTCAAAAAATGTTTTAAACAAAAATTGTATGCCTCAAAAAACACACAATTTATGTCCTGTACATTTTTTACAAAAAGTGATAATTTTTCGAGAAAAATACAAGAAACCATAAATAACATAAAAAATGATGGAGAAAGAGTGCACATCATAACTAGAGAGAAATATTGTACTTGTAAGTATACTAACGTATTTTAATGCGCTAAATACGAAAATGATAGTGAAAATTGGCGAAAATTTATTATCCTGGTGAAAACTATAAAAATCACCATAATGCCATGGTTCACTTTTGGTAAAAAATGTATAGGACATAAAATGTGTGTTTTTTAGAGATCTACAACTTTTATCTAA